ACCTGTTTCACAGGTAACTCATTGTTTTCACTATTTTATAATTAACCCAACCCACAGACAGACTGATTTATTAACCTACTGAAAACTCTAGGTCTGGTGGATAATATTGCTGAATATTTATTTGATTTTGAGCGTTTCATTTATGGTCAGTCCTCCTCCACTATGTCAACAGTGTAAAAAGATTCATCTTCTTTTGATCGTGGTCCTCAAATTATATACAAATACAAAGAGTATTTCACAGACTGTATATATTTACACTTCATCAAAGATCTCCCTAATATCAGAAGCGCTCAAACACTAAGAAGAACAATCATCGCAGAGCATCAGCTCACCTCTTTGTTTGTCTTTATAGTGGAAATAAAAGCCTGTAAAATACCAGATGAATTTATTTTTGTGTACACTTATTACGTAGGACATCATGTAAAACAGGAAAGAGTTAAGAGATAGAGGAGTGTTTAAGTTTTGGGGTTGAATTTGGGCCATACAAATAAATGTCTTACACAAATAACAAAATACTTATTTTTCACTTTCAGATGTATGTGACTCTCATGTTCCGCACCAAAGGGACCAGACTGACCAAGCCCACCATTTGCCTGGTGCTGCTGTCGCTGGCACTGCTGGTGGGAGTGGTGAGAGTGACGGAACACAGAAACCACTGGGATGATGTTCTCGCAGGGATCATCACTGGAGGGGCCATCGCTGCTTTTCTGGTGAGGGGAAGGAGGGAACTGTAGGAGACAGATGGATCGCCGCTCTTAGACTGAACCTTTATTCAAATACCCTACCTGTCTTTTCAGATTTTTGTTGTTTTTTTTTTGTCTCTGCTAGGTGACATGTGTGATCAACAACTTCCAGCCAACACAGTTATCAACGCTGATTCCTCCACCTTCAAAGAATCCAGACCAATCCATTGGAATCCCTCTCCTCAGCCTGCCCCGTGTTGAGAGTCCACATGAAAAGTTAAGTGGGCTCCAGGTAAGGGTTGGGGGTAATGCACTGATAACGTAATACAAAATTATAAATACGTGTATATTGGTGACAGGGATGTAAAAACAATACAAATACAAATGCTTGACCATTTGTATTTGTCTAAAAAAATGTATCGTTCATCAAGGCCTAAGAAGTAGGCTGCATTATCTCAAAAAGTCACTGGTCATACCATGAGACTACACACTCTTGTACAGTAGGTGGCGGTATACGCCTAAAAACGTTGTTTGTGGCCCACTATTAAACCAAGACCTCAAATCCTTTATGAAGTGATATAAATAGAATCATAAATGATTTTCTTTTATTGTTTACTTTATTGACAGTTGTGACAGTGAGGTAAATAAGACCGGAGTAGTTTTATTTTTACTAAGAGGAGTTAAATGGTGATGTACAGAACACAAACACTTATCCTTAGTCTAAATGTTAAAAACAGGGGCAAAAGAACATACAAAACCAACACAGTCTGGACTATATAGTTGTTTCATGTTGCGTTTGTTTCTTGAACACATTGCTCTTGTGCAGTTCCTTCCCTCTCCTGTTCCTCTGCAGTCCTGGACTCCTCGGTGCAGCAGCTGCTTTCATGTGCTCCAATTATACATCCCTAAATTTTTTTTTTTTGCATTCACCTTAGGCTTCGGGGATACCAGATTCTAAGATCACATGACTATCAGCCAATCCTAGCTCCCACTCCTCCCGATGTGCTCCTCCCCTCCAGGCGTTGCCTCACGAGTGCAGTCTAGACATGCCCTCCAAAAGCCCCCTCTGCTGTCCCTCTGACTTCAAAGAAGGACATTGTCTCCTTCGAGGGAAATCAACACAGGTGTGAAGATCCACGGTCACAGGAAGCAGGACGGGCTGGAAGACCTGTCCTCACCAGGGCCTCTCCCTGACCTGTCCTGTCCCGTTTGTCCCCTGATATAGATCTAATATAAGACATGACAACACTGCAGGTGTTGAAGCAATACTGTGTACATCTCCCCTGTTCTAGTTCAAAGCCTCAACAGTGACTGTAAAGACAGCACCAAAAACAGCAGATCAACTCCAGCATTGAAAGACCCTTTTACTCAGGTCAATAAAAAGGAAAAGCAGAATAGAACAAAACCACATACTTACGAGATGCACTGTCCATGTGAATGTGCTTTTTGTAAATTTAAGCACAGGCGAACAATATGCTGTCCACTATGTTCTGCTTTTTTAGGGGCGATGTTTTCATGCGAGATTCTTTGCTGTAAATCTGTACTGTGACAGAGGTTTACACTGAACACGGCTGTGTTTCTGTTTTGCGCCACAGTTAATTAACTGTAGAGAAATGAGCCGACTGTCTGACCCTTCTACCACTGACTTTTTAGGTGTCTGATGCTGGTCGGTAAATACTGTTAATATTTGACTTAACGACATTTACAATTATTTTTAACTAAATGTCCTTAAAGTGCACCTTCTCTGTTCTCACCCCTATTTTATGTTGTATTTTCCCTCCACAATCGTCCACTATGTTGAATTATAAGGTTTCACCATGAAACATTAAGTTTTAAGTAGGTTAGGATTTTTAAGCACAGCATTTACTGTATTCTTGAGTAGTGTGTCTTACCAGATGTCAAACAGAAAACAAAACTCTTTTAGCATCTTGTTGTTTCATTGACAAAGGTAAAGGCCACTTGGCTTTGCTGTAGTTTTCTGCATCTCTTACCAGTGTGAGGTTTTAATAGAAAGGTAAGCGTGACATTTTTTAAAGACAGTACACCAGTACGATGTGATTCGCTAGAGATAAAAACAAACAAACATTGTTTTTTTAATCATATAATTATGTCTTATACAGCAGGTTTATATTCCCAAAGGCTGCTCATCCACACATACAGTACATCAGCTCATACATCACACTGTGACTATATTAAGTGATGTGTGCATTGTGATGAGTTTACATCCTAATTATCCAACTAAATCTGTGATTGGACACCAAGCCCTGCTCTGAACGCAGCTCATTTCACTCACTGATCCGAAACGACTACACAATTAAATTATGAAAAATAATAGTATCAGTATTGTTTTTTTAAATACTGCAGTCTTGTTTTCTCATGTGGGATTGTATGATTTTTTTGTATACATTAATAAGTTCTAATTTGTGTGTCATTTTCTTTAAACTATCAGTCACTTACGTTGATACAGTATGTCACTGTTAGCCTTTAAAGGTGTCCTGACCATACCTATGAAAGCAGACTGTTCTTTGTTCAACTTTAACTTTGATTATAGTTAAACTTTCCATTGTTTTTGTAAAAAAAATATTCACAACATTTTTCCACATATTTGTTTTATATTTCTTTATTAAAATAAAGTATCAAGCCCGTAACATGTTGTACGTATGAATTATTTTGTTTTGCTCATTTCTGGCTCTCATTTTGTTGTATTGACAAATGAATGGTTAATTTGGTCGTTATGATCATCATGATACTTCTGACAATAATTAATAACCAGCAAACGTTTCATTTTGTCCAAATTTACCTTTGACCAGAAAGTGCTTCTATGATAACAAAGTTGAATCAAGATGATAATACTGCCCTCCAGTGGTCAGTCGCGTTTAAGGAAAGGATGTAAAACGTTTGTCTTGAGTAATAATAATAAAACCACAACGACAGTAAGAATAATAACAGCAATATTAATAAATCATATTAATAATTGTGTACATTTATACAAATAATTTTATTTATTTATGTTTTTATTTATGTTTGTTGAAAAAGTTAATATATTTGACGACAGAAAAGTTAATATATTTGACATGAGCGGAAACCAAGTAGATTATTCAAGGTTTTTTTTTTAAGAAAGCTTTTCAGCACATGGTGGCAGTGTTTACCCTGTTCAGCGACCGGTGAATGGAACCAGTGATGTACATGTGCTGTAACTACAGTACTATCTAAGATTAAATAATTAGTTATCTAAGGTAAAACCACTCTACATACATACATACGTACATACGAGTAGTTATCCTTTTTAAATGCCCCATGACTTTACATTGTGTCAGTTTTTGTACAGCCTGAGCAGAATTTTACCCCAAACCCTAATGGTGAGCAGTTGACGCCTAACCCTCATAAAACAATGTTTTCAAAATGATAGGAAATTGTCAAAAGTGGGTAACTAATAGACACAAACACACACAGCGAGCACTGCGTACAGAAGACATTATCTTTTCCAGAGGTTACTTCTCCACATTAGAAATGAAAGAGCTCTTCGCTGTAACCTTTTAAAAGCCATTAGTGAACAGCTGCTCCCTCCTCTTAATTTCACTCCATCCTATTTGTCTCTCTTGTTAAGACACTAACACACACACACACACATACACACACACACACACACACACACACAAAACAGTCATTACAACCACAGCACTGATGGCCAGCATCCAGTTCCCACATCCAGAGTGAGGACTAAGCATCCTTCACTTCCAATCGGTGTACCAATCAATGACAATAAAATAGTATGCCTTGGGTGTAAAATTCAGACATAATCATCGTTCATTATATAAGAACTATTGGATCAATATTTGTTAATTGAATAAGCCTCTTTTTCACATTTAAAATGTTGATAATGCATCCAGTGTTGCCTTCAGGGGGAGCACACTGTGAAAATGATTTGAAATAGGAATATTGTCATCCTCACTATAATGGATAAGGGCAGGATCTTATTAAAGCATTCTCCTTTTATGATATATAAGTCAAACAAATGAATTACTTAAATGTGAATATTTTTAAAGTTGTTTCCAGGGCAACAACAAATGCTGGTACAATGCGGACGTTGAAAAATAGGAGAGAGTGTACATAGAAACTAGGAAAGCTGGGAGAACGATTTCACTGTGACAGGAGTGAGACTAATGAACAGGTGATCACAGGACACAGGTGAGTGTGATAACAGTGATTAGTGTTATCACACTCACAGCAGACTCAAGCAGGGGGGAGGGAGACACACAGACCTCACACAAATGTTTCTGTATGAAAACAAAAACCGTCTTTTAACCGACATGTTAAATATACCAAAGGCTTTACAATTATTTAATAACAATTAAATCATATTTCTATCAATTTAAGAGACAATCAGCAAAGTTTTTCGATTCAAATGTCTTTATGTTGAGGGCTACACCCTGCCATGTGGCCAGGCTACAGCTAACATTAGCTCTGGTGCTAACAGCAACATGTCAGTGAATTGACGCTATTGGCTTCAGGTGCTGTGTTTACAATAATAATAATAATAATAATAATAATAATAATAATAATAATCTGCCTTGTTAGTAAAAAAAATCCACACTTTCCTTTTTCATCACCCTTTCGCGGGCTGACGTCACTTAATGCTTTCTGTGTTCTTCAACAAACTTCAGGTACATAACTGCCACCTACAGGCTGTAGTGTGCAGCAGCGTTCTGGGTGAGGCCAAAATTTGTCTCTCTAATTGATGCGTTTAATGTGGTGTTTTTCGATGCGTCATCGTGTCTGTGAAACGAACGTGTTCAATTACTAACCCTAGTTTTTTTTTAAAGAACGGCAGACCAAAAACAACCACAACAGCTATTTCTCTATGTCCACTCTTTATGTTTAGATATAAAAAGCTAAACCACTTCTAGGCCTCTAGCATTTAGTTGTCCAGCATTTACTTACACGTCGGTGGACTACTTCAGTGTGAAAAAAAGTCACACATACAACAGTGAGGCAGGTTGGTTATACAACTGAGAGGATTAGAGATAGAGAAGGTGTTCAGCATTGAAGTTGACCAAAAAATATCTAAGTTGCTGTCAAATACAAACAAACAAAAGAAAGAGAGAACAGTACCCGCTTTAACAGTGTCACTTGTGTCGTTATTTTATT